CCAAATTACCTTGCATCAGTTAAAAATGAGCTTTGTACTCCAAGGTTTTTGAAAATCTACCTTGATAAAGCTAATATTTAATAATTAATGTGTGGTTTTGTGGTTCTTAGCATGAATAAAGTCTGATGGCTCATTTTAACGTGTTAAACATGCACATATTTCAATTATTCACTGTACTGAGCACCAGTCTACAGCCCTCGATTGGCCCTCTGCTTCGTCTGTGTTTAGAAATGTGGCCCTTGATGAAAAAAGTTTGGACACCCCTGGCCTAGAGGAAAGCGGGGATGGAGAACACAGCTTCACTCCAACCCGGAGGATGCACCATGCAACTTTCCTGGAAGTCACTGGATGGATGGACAAAGCCTGGACTTCAGTGACACCGAAACCATCCTGTCGGGATTCAGAAAGGCCGGAATAATTCTAACTGGAACTGATGCTGAGTCTGACGACAGCTACACAGAAGAGGAAGCGGCGCTCTGTTTACCTCTGGAGGTCGTGGAGTTGCTCAGAAGTGACACCGAGGATGAAGAATTTAATGGATTTAGGTAAACTTGTTCTGTTGTTTATGTTATAATTATCTGAAGAACTGTTCATATGTGACATTAACAGCCTGTTGTTCTCTTCTAATGTTGTTACTAGAACTTGTCTTTTGGATCAGTAAAGTTTGTCTAAGTCTAAGTTTAAGACCATGTCTCATGTGAAAGCTCAGAACCTCCAGAATTCCCTCACGGAGCTGCAGAGGCTGTGGAGGTTACAGGTGGTGGACAGAAAGAGTTTCATTAGACAAAACAAACATTTCAAATACAGAGGAGGTTGGATTTAGATTTTTTGAGTAAACTCGATCTCACTGAAAAATGTGTATTACTCCTCAGATTTTCTAGTTTCTAGTTTGGTGCCTGCATGTACCTTAAGGAGTGATCTGTCCTCATGGGAAACAAGCAACGACATTAAATGTAATGACAACAGTTCAGATTGGGTAGACTGGACACTTTAGTTTAGTTTCCAGGTAGAAGTTTCTATCTTGAGAGCGCAAACTGACCGAAAAACAACAACAACGGCAGAGTGTTACCTACAATAAGTTCTCCTGTTCTATTTGCAAACCCAGTGATGTGAACAGTTGGCAGGGCATCTCTTGGTTAGTCATTGGCGCTGCCCGTGGAGAGGGAGATTCCCGTGGCACACATTTGGAAACAGCAGCAGCAGAATGACGCCTCCTCCCACACACAACAGGGGGCGCCGCGCACGATTATACAACAGTCACTACAGGAGCTTTAATGGAGAGGAAAAATAAGATTGCTCAAATACACGGAGGGCACAAAGACACATTTAAAGGTCCTGTATGACACAAAATAAACTCTTATGCGCTTTAAGTCATGTTATAATGTTATTACCTCCTCAAAAAGAGACCTGGAGTTGTGCTTAGTTTCATTCACACATGTTTGAGTAACTCTTTATTGTTAGTCTGTCTACATCTCCAAATTTTAAGATGCTCTGTTCCAACTTGTGACTTTTGCCTTTAGAAGTGTGTAGAATCCCTCAGTCGTCCAAGTAAAATCCATGGCAAAGGAGAAATTCAATTTGTCAAATGGTCAAATGTTTATTTTGGTGGAAAACATTTCACAGTTCATCCAAGCTGCTTCTTCATTTCTGGTCAGACACTGGTGGATATTTCCTTATATCTGCCTGCAGAGAGTTCAGCCGATTTCAGTTCGTAGAAACCGTCTGACCTCGAAGCAGTAAGATTCGTTCGCTCGATGGTAGGCAGGTACTGTTTTTATTTAACCAATCGCTGCTATTTGGTCATGATGAATGTAATGCGCCGCTAACGGGGTTAACTGGTATATTAAGCTTTTCCCAAATCCCGTAGGAAGAAGGACAATAACGTCTTTCCATTTCATAAAATTCACCAAACATTCTCTTTGTTCCGGCTTTAAATCCTCGATCTCGGGAATCGTTGCCAACACAGAATGTCTGTCTCTTCGCTGATTGGCTGGTGCCCAAACTCACACTTCTGGGGTTCTTGCAAACCGTTTAGTGTTTTCTGATTCCTGACCAAGTCACTGGAGAGAAATGAAATTGAATGGAGGCACTAGGTGGCGCCAGGCTGACGATCAGAGAGGAGCTAACTACACCGAAACTACTCTGAAACTAACACACCTACTTGTTTACTGTGAAACGTTTTCAACCTAAATAAACGTTTGTCCAGTTGACAAATTGAATTTCTCCTTTGCCTTTTACCTTTAGTTTAGTAGAGATTCTAGAAATTCTGGATTCTAGTGAAGGGGAATGGAGATCAAAAATATAGTGGGGCACTTTCTGTATTACCACATGACATCACAAGTGTTTTCTGTTTGAGACAATATCTCAGCCTCCATCTGCAGGGTTTGTGTGTTAATAAACGTGTGTGAATGAAACAAAACACAACTCCAGGTCTGTTTCTGATGTGGAAAAAATATTATAACAGATCAGAAAACAGCGTAACATGGAGGCTTTAAGCTGGTGCTTTAGGGGCAAATAGTGAAACAAAAAGCACCTATCTATTTAGTGGCACTGTATGCAGCCTTCACACTTACTGTTTCAAAAAAATTCAGCATTGAAAGTGTCAAGAATAAATCAGCATTACAGTTGTTATCAGTAAAAGTTCATATTTGATTTGTAAATGTCGACCTCATATCTGGGACACGGTTACGTCATGTGTCTGGAATTTAAAATCAAAATCATACATACAGATCCTTTAATCCAACTTAGGCTTCTACTGACATATTTTGAAAGGTCCACTATGTGACTTTTCCAGTGTAACTTTATTGATTTGCGTGGAATGTTTCGCAATCTGGCATTACAAGAACACTGCATTTACTTAATAGCAGGTGCACCTTGAAAGCCATGCATTCTTCCTTTGAGCGGGCTAATCTCTCCGCAGATCTGACCTGTAAATTGGCCTGGTGGCGTAACCGACTTGTCTCCAAAGAAGTCATTCAGTTTAATAATGACACACTGCAGAATATTCTAGGCGAAGCAATAGCATCGCCATGGAGACAGGCAGTAAACACTTCACAGTGCACCTTAATCGACCAATTTCATAAAGTATGTTTTAAATGACGGTCTCTTTCGTCACACTTTCCCTCCTAGGATGCTTAAGGTAAGTGAGGAATAACTCGTTTAAATGAATTAGTTCTGTTTTTCACATTTTTAAGACCATGAAAGCCCCTTTAAGCAGTAAAAAACCCTACAAAACTCTGCTCTGGTCTCTGAAAGTTGCAAAAAGCGCTCATAAACTCATCAAAAAGAATAATTAGGAAGTTCTGAAAGCACAAGAATAACTTGTTTAAATGAATTAGTTCTGTTTTTCATGCTTTTAAGACTATGAAAGCGCCTTTAAGTAGTAAAAAACCCTACAAAACTCCTCTCTAGTCTCTGAAAGTTGTGAAAATGCATAGGTTGAGGAATAACTGGTTTAAATGAATTAATTTTGTTTTTCATGTTCTTAAGACTGAGAAAATGCTTTTATGTCAAAAAAAAAAAAAGTCAAAAAACCCCAAAAAACTACAAAACTCCTCTCTAGTCTCTGAAAGTTGTGAAAAGTGCTTATAAACTCATCACGGTGAATAATTAAAATGGTAAAAATAAGGTAAGTGAAGAATAACTTGTTTAAATGAATTACCACAGTTTTTCAGGTTTTTAAGACTGTGAAAGCATCTTTAAGTAGTAAAAAATCCTACAAAACTCCGTTCTGGTCTCTAAAAGTTGTGAAAATGCATAAGGTAAATCAGCAATAACTTGTTTAAATGAATTTGTCCAGTTTTTCATGTTTTTAAGACTGCAAAAGCACTTTTAAGTAGTAAAAACCCCTACAAAAATCCACTCTGGTCTCTGAAAGTTGGAAAATGCATACATGAGGAATAACTTGTTTAAATGAATTCATTTTGTTTTTCATGTTTTTAAGAAGTGTATTTAAGTAGTAAAGAACCCTACAAAACTCAGCTCTGATCTCTGAAAGTTGCGAAAATTGCTTATAAACTCATTGCAGTGAATGTATAAGGTAAGTGAGGAATAATTTGCTAAAATGAATTAGTTATGTTTTTCACGTTTTTAAGCTCGTTTGAGTAGTAGAAACCCCTATAAAACTCTGCTCTGGTCTCTGAAAGTTGCAAAAAGCACTTATAAACTCATCGATGTAAATAATTAAGATGCTCTGAACGCATAAGGTCAGTGAGGAATAACTCGTTTAAACGAAATAGCTCGGTTTTTGACGTTTTTAAAACTGTGAAATCATCTTTAAGTAATAAAAAACTTTACAAATCTCACTCTGGTCTCTGAAAGTTGCCAAAAGTGCTTCTAAACTCATCGCGGTGAACTATTAGAGTGCTCTGAATGCATAAGGTAAGTGAAAAGTAACTCGTTTAAATGAATTAGCTCGATTTGTGACGTTTTTAAGACTGTGAAAGCGGCTTTACACTGCAAAAATCAATATCTAGGTAAGTTAAAATGACTTAAAGTAAGAACATTTTACTTTATTTGAGTTGATTCAACTTCGGCAAGTAAAATGATCTACCAGTGGAATAAGAGTGTGAATTTTATTTCTTATTTTAAGCGCAAAAAGTTGTTGTTTTTCTTATTTTAAGTGCAGCAAGATGTATTTTCATATTTTAAGTAACAAAAAGTCAGGTATTTTTTTAAAATCATGGTCAAACTTTGTTAATTCACGACGTCTTAACTTGGCTAGGTTTTAGTTTTTGCGATGTAAGTAGTAAAAAAAACCTCGCTCTATACGAGACAAGCAGGAAAAGCAGAAAAGTTACGCAGTGCACCATTAAATCCCAACATTATGAACGCGTAATTCGTCGCAGCTCTCTGTATTTACCTCTGTCTGAGCACCCCGCTGTCCCACGCTGGCTTTTACGTGCCCCCGCGCCTCTCCGCCGTGATTGGCCAAACCCTCCGTGCGCGGAACCTGCTACTGTTTTTCCCATCCGCCCCTTCTGTCAGTGCCACACGCGCGCACTGGGGAAGAGCCACGACCAGCCAGTCACTCACTCACTCACACACACACACGGGGGCTGCCTTTCGCTCCCGCAACCCCGCACCGCAGCTCCAAACCCGGGAATCCCTGCTCCGAACCTCCCCCGTACGAGCTCTGGAAGTCATGGCACCCGCTGTGGAAGTCGCGTCTACGTGAATTTACGCGCGAAATGCTCCCGTCGGTCGCGCCGCAACGTTTGTCAAACCCGATCAAGCTGTCTGGAGCGGGAAGGCAACGTTGACAGCTGGGATTTTTACGATTTTACCAAAGGAAAAAGCGAACGCACGTGGAGAAGAAGCGACGCGTAAAAACATCGGTGAGTGGATTCGGATTTATTTTTACGCAGGGCTTTGGTGCAAGGTCATATCGGTAATTTGGGAGAGTTGGGGAAAGTTTACGCACGGAGAGGACGCGGGGAGGAGTGAGAGATCGAATTGGCACTGCGTAAAAAACGATCTCTGGAGGGATTTAGGAACAAGTGTAGGCAAGAGTGAGCGGTCTGTCCACACGGAATGTTGTTTTTAATTTTGGTTGTTAAGAATTGACTGTGGGTTTCGAGTTCAAGACGAAATAAAAAGATCTTGTGCGTAATTTTGGTCCTGTTATAGTCCTGGTTTAGTTCTAGTTTGGATCTGATTCATCTGAGGTGGGCAGAGTAGCCAGAAATTTTACTCAAGTAACAATAACGTCACTTTAAATGAATCTTACTCAAGTAAAAGTACAAAGAAGTGGTCCAAAAATAGATTTAAAAAGTATTTAAAACTACTACTCAAGTAAAAGTAACTGTTGGGACGTGATATCTGTTGTATAATTTTGAAGTTAATCTAATTTGAAATACGACAATCCACAAAATACTGTGTTTTTAAAGAATAGACACAAAAATGAGACAAACTTATTCATTTAAATCAAACTAAATCTTATCTGCAAGAAGTGGGAAGAGTAAACAAAACTTTTACTCAAGTATGAGTACAGTTACTTCAATAAAAATATTACTTAAGTAGGAGTATTTAAGTATTTAGGAGTATTTATGTAAGTATGCAGCTAGAAATGTACCCTGAAAGTAAAATTTCTTTAAAAAGTTACTGAAGTAGTCCTAAATGTAGCTGAGTAAATGTAGCTGGGTAACTGTAACTGAGTAAATGTAACTGAGTACTCTCCACCTCTTATTTAGTTGTAGTGGAGACTTTGTTTAGTCAGTAAAAGCATGTGGTCTGGAGCAGAGAAAATAAGTGTTAAATTGATTTAAAGTTGCATTTGAAGGAACATTTGTGGTGGAGGGTCGGCTGATTTCTTGTCTCCATGGAGATGTTATGAAATGTTCCACAGTATCTTATAGATTTAAGTGAGGGAATCACATAATCTCGGTTTATATTTGGATTTCTGGTTCAGGTCTTGGGTTCAGTCCTGGTTCAGTCCTGGTTTAGTCCTGGTTTAGTCCTGGTTTAGGGCCTGGTTTAGTCCTGATTTAGACAAGCTTAGACTTGGTTGATACCTTGTTTAGTCCTGGTTCAGTACCTTTTTAGTACCTGGTTTAGGCATGGTTTAGTCCTGATTTAGACCCTGTTAGTTACCTGGTTTAGTATCTGGTTTAGAACCTGTTTGTAGACCTGGTGTAGCATCAGGTTTAGTAGCTGGTTTAGTACCTAGATTAGTCCTGGTTTACTCCTGGTGCAGTCCTGGTTTAGTCCTGATTTAGACCTGGTTTAGACTTTACTGACACCTGGGTTAGTCCTAGTACAGTACCTTTTTAGATCTTGTTTAGTACCTGGTTTAGACCTGGTTTAGACCTGGTTCAGCCCTGTTTTAGACCAGTTTTAGACCTGTTTTTGACCTGATTTAGCCCTGGTTCAGCCCTGGTTTAGCCCTGGTTCAGCCCTGGTTTAGCCCTCATGTAGCCCTCATGTAGCCCTGTTTTAGACCGGATTTAGCCCGGATTTAGCTCTGGTTCAGCCCTGGTTTAGACCTGGTTCAGTCCTGGTTTAGACCTGTTTTAGCCCTGTTTTAGACCTGTTTTATCCCTGTTTTAGCCCAGTTTTAAACCTGTTTTAGACCTGTTTTAGATCTGTTTTATCCCTGTTTTAGCCCAGTTTTAAACCTGTTTTAGACCTGTTTTAGATCTGTTTTATCCCTGTTTTAGCCCAGTTTTAAACCTGTTTTAGACCTGTTTTAGACCGTCTCATCATATATTCTGTTGCATATTTCCTTAAACAGCTCCAGGCTACTGTAGAGCTCGTAAACAGCACGTGCTCCTGCGCTCGGCTCCGTCGTTTAGAGAAAAGTGAAATTCCACACGCACATTTGTACCTGGGTCCCCACAGCTCTGCCCAGTCCACTTTCTCTTTCTCTTTGGTCAATCATTAACCTGAGAAACTCCCGTCACTGTTCACCTGATTCTAACCCGGTTGTAGTAATACTGTGTTATAAATCCGTTTTAGTTAATATCTAGTTAAGAAAAACATCATTTGAGTCTAAATGAACCGTGTCAGATTGTTCTTTTACTTTCTGTAAATATAACTCACCTGCGCCCTTTTGTTGTTATGATACTGATATTTCAAACTCAAAATCTGGATACTCAATACCGATACCGATACCACAATGATAATAAAAATTACTGTTTATTTAGACTATAGTTTTGTCCTGATTTAGACCTGGTTTAGACTTGGTTGACACCTGGTTTAGTCCTGGTTTAGTCCTGGTTTAGTCCTGGTTTAGTCTGGTTTAGTACCCCGTTTAATCCTGATGTAGACCTGGTTTAGACTTGGTTGATACCTTCTTTAGTCCTGGTTTAGTACCTGTTTAGTATGTGGTTCAGTACCTTTTTTAGTACCGGGTTTAGTACTGGGATTAGTACTTGGTTTAGTCCTGGTTTAGTCCTGATTTAGCACCTTGTTTTGTACCAGGATTAGACCTCATTTAGTACCTGGATTAATCCTGGTTTACTCCCGGTGTAGTCCTGGTTTAGTACCTTTTTAGTACCTGGTTTAGGAACTGGTTTTGTACCTGGATTAGACCTCATTTAGTACTTGGATTAATCCTGGTGTACTCCTGGTTTAGTCCATTTAGTACTGGATTAATCCTGGTTTATCCTGGTTTTGTACCTGGATTAGACCTCATTTAGTACTTGGATTAATCCTGGTGTACTCCTGGTATAGTCCTGGTTTAGTACCTTGTTTAGTCTTGATTTAGACCTGGTTTAGACTTGGTTAAAACCTTGATTAGTCCTGGTTTAGTACCTGATTTAGTGCTGGTTCAGTGTCTGGTTTAGTACCTTGTTTAGTACCTAATTTAATGCTGTTTAGTCCTGGTTTATTGCCGGTTTATTACGTGGTTTAGGCCTGGTTTAGTACCAGTTTTAGTCCTGTTTTAGTAGCTGTTAAGTACCTTTTAGTCCTGGTTTAGACCTGGTTTAGACCTGGTTTAGTATGTGGTTCAGTACGTTGTTTAGACCTGGTTTAGTCCTGGTTTAGTACCTGGTCATTTTGCTTATGATTGTTGAATTTAACACGAGGCTGCCGCATATTTCTTAAATTTTTCACTCCCAGTTGTGCGGTATTTGCATAAGAATAGTCCCATTAGCCGATCGTGTTGAGACTGATGTGCAAAAAGCTATAACAAAGCTCTGAAAGTTTGAATTGTTATTGTATCGAGTGATTGTCTCGTATTCCGAGCAAATGTCTTTCGTTTCATTACAAACTCCGTCTCAAAATCTCTGCGGGTTTATGGCGTCAGTTCTGTGGCGGTACATTGCTTACATTCTTGGAAAAGCATTTTATTTTTACCACAGAAAAAATAGCGCGTCCATAAACCGAAGTCAATGTCACAAACTGAAAATCTCTGAAATTTATGTAAAGGTTTTGGAATTTGCCACTCCTAATGTTTGGGTTTTCGGGTTTAGATCTGTCATGAATTTCTTGTTGTTCTCTCTGTTTTTTTTGTCCTTGCTTAATATTTGAGATTCAGCGTGACATTGTGCCACTGAGCAAGACCCTTGGGAGGCCGTTGGAAGTGAAATTCTTTCCCTTTCTCTTGCCCACTCACTCAAACTTTCTCTTGCCTCTCTCCTTTCTTCATCAGCCTGTCTCCCTCGCTTTTTTTCCAGAGATATATGAAAAATGTCTCGATTTTAGCACATAATTAACACCAATATACGCTTTTTTTTTTCTTTTAACAGATGATTTGATCGAGGGAGAGTCTTGAGAGAGAGAAAGAGAGAAGAAGGGAGAGGTACCGAGGGAGGGATAGAACAAGACAGGCAGAACGACAGAGTCTCAGATGGGAGAAAGAGACGGATAGTCCGAGCGAGAAAAGAGGAAGACGGGGAGGGTGAAAAGAGATGAAGAGAGTAGGGGTGTGCAAAAATATCGGAATATCGATATATCGTATTGTTTAATGTGATGATACAGTATCGATATCGTGGGCTACTGTATCGATATTTCACCAAGAGTATTATTAGGTGGGTTTTACTAAATAATTTTGTTACAGTGCTACAGTTTTGTTGAGTGAAAGGAAACTCGTTTATGCGACACATTTGACATTTTCACAGTTTTGAGGATTAAAATGTTTGTGTTTCATATGAACTTTTGCATAAGAAGTGATTTAAGAAAGCCTTTTAGTATCACAGCCTTTATTTTTTATTGAACCGTATCGAATCTATTTGAAATACATCATATCGAATCGAAAGTGCACTGTATCGAGATATGTATCGTATCGTGGCCTGTGTATCGAGGTATGTATCGTATCGGCAACTCCTTAATGATACCCAGCTCTAATCGTATCGTTTAATGTCATGGTACAGTATCGATATCGTGGGCTGCTGTATTGATACAACACCAAGACTACTTTTTTGGTATATTTTACTAATGGATCATTCCACGCCATTTCAACAAACGGCTCATGCACTTTGATCTAAAAAAATTTAGATGGAGGAGGAGACACGTCCGTGCAGCATGATTTACTCCTGTTAAATCCTGTTTTAGTCCTGGTTTAAGTCCTGGTTTAGTCTTGATTTAAACCTGGTTTATTCCTGGTTTTAGACCTGGTTTAGACCTGGTTTGGACCTGGTTTAGACCTGGTTTAGACCTGGTTTAGACCTGTTTGGACCTGTTTTAGACCTGGTTTTAGACCTGGTTTAGACCTGGTTTAGACCTGGTTTTAGACCTGTTTTGGACCTGGTTTAGACCTGGTTTTAGACCTGGTTTAGACCTGGTTTAGACCTGGTTTTAGACCTGGTTTAGACCTGGTTTTGGACCTGGTTTAGACCTGGTTTAGACCTTTTGGACCTGGTTTAGACCTGGTTTTAGACCTGGTTTAGACCTG